TTCTTCAAATAACGTTTACGTAATATGTAGATTAAATAATTAATTAAAGATTTAATACTACAATTAAATAACAAATTTTAAAAGCGCCAAGGCCCCTCAAATCCCCAACAAATTGTGCCTTCGTTTGGTTGGATTAAGTGAAGTTTTATCTGGCTTAGGACCTAACGCTTTCACCAGAATTATTATTTAGATTAAAATTAATTTAGTAACATCTATACTGAATTATTACTTAATATGATACATAATCAGAACTAATTAATTTTGGAATTACTAATTTAGTTTTAAACTATCTAAAATCTATACAATGTGCAAATATTAAATATGCACAAAACTTTAACGAAATTAAAGTAAAACGGTCGAAAAACGACTTATAAAAGTTTATGTTTTCAATTATCTCATACAACATATTTTATACTTGTTAAACATTGCTGGTGATTTCCTCAAAAAGAATGCACTCTACATTCAAATCCGTTTTCCCTAATTATAAGTATTTAAAGTTTAGTTCGGCAAACTGGATGATGTTGGTCCACTACGATTTTCCAAGGTGTTMTAAATAGATGTCCTAAAAAAATCCTTAAAAATAATAATTTTATGTCAGGTGGATTATTTGTACCGGTCTCGCGGACATATTGGACATAATATGGACATCAGTCCACTACGCAGTTGCACAGTAGGGACCCTGTCGCTATGTCAGTATGTCAAATAAGTACCAATGTTTTAAAATATTTTTCCGGTCGTAATATGCTTGCTTAAATGTATATAAGTATATAACTATAACTTATCCAAATTTCAAGTAGGGTTTAGTGTGTATTTATTTTAGTTTTTGAACAATCTCCAAATCGATGGACATTTAAATGCATAGGTACCTTGTACATAAATATCACTGAAAAATAAATTCTCCAACTAACTTAACTTAATTATTGGAACGTGAAACGGTGGCTAATCATATTTGTATAGAAAAAAAAAGCGGGTAAGTGGATGTCGCTCTGCTGTACATTAGGTGGTGGGGTGGACCTCTGAYTARGRTAGGTTAGATTTGAATGCAATGATAGGTATCATTGTATACGAAAAACGATTCTGAACGGAGATGATTTGTCAGTCTAGAATAAATTATATTTAAATATT